TACTGTCTCGTATGACCTTCTCATAAACAAACTAGGGAAAATACAACCTAGATGGAGCTACTATAAGGTGGGTGCATAACAGGTTGGAAAACCATTCTCAGAGAGCTGTTATCAGTAATTCACAGTCAAGCTGGAAGGGCATATCAAGTGGGGTGCTGCAGGAATCAGTGATGGGTCCAGTTATGTTCAATATCTTCATCAATGATTTAGATAATAGCATAGAGAGTACACTTATAAAGTTTGCGGATGATACCAAGCTGAGAGGGTTTGCAAGTGCTTTGGAGAACAGGATTAAAATCAAAATGATCTAGACAAACTGGAGAAATGGTCTGAAGTACATAGGATGAAATTCAATAAGGACAAATTCCAAGTACTCCACTTAGGAAGGATCAACTGCACCAATACAAAATGGGAAATGACTGCCTAGGAAGGAGTACTGTGGAAAGGGATCTGGGGGTCATAGTGGATCACAAGCTAAATATGAGTCAACAGTTTAACACAGTTGCAAAAAAAGCAAACATCATTATGGGATGTATTAGCAGGATCGTTGTAAGCAAGACACGAGAAGTAATTCTTCTGTTCTATTCCACGCTGATTAGGCCTCAACTGAAGTATTGTGTCCAGTTCTGGGCACATTTCAGGAAAGATGTGGAAAAAATTGGAGGAAGCCCAGAGAAAAGCAACACAAATTATTAAAGGTCTAGAAAACGTGATCTATGAGAGAAGATTTCAAGACTAAACAAACAATGTTTTCAAAGAGAAGAGAGGTCGGGGGGGGGGGTACACGATAACACTTTTGCAAGTTATGTAAAAGATAGTTACAAGGAGGGGGTAAATTGTTCTTGTTAACCTCTGAGAATAGAACAAGAAGCAATGGGTTTAAATTGCAGCAAGGGAGGTTTAGGTTGGCCATTAGGAGTCAGTTCCTGTCAGGATAGTTAAACACTGGAATGAATTGCCTAGGGAGGTTGTGGAATCTCCACCACTGGAGATTTTGAAGAGTAGGTTAGACAAACACCTGACAGGGATGGTCTAGATAATATTTAGTCCTGCCATGAGTACAGGGGACTGGACGAGATGACCTCTCAAGGTCCCTTCCAGTCCTAGGATATTGTTGGTCTGATCACAGAGAATCCACTTCCACAAGTTAGCTCACTATCCCCAACACTGGGGGAGGGTAAAAAGAGAAAATTGTGATCTCTTGCAGAGCAGTCAGAATCTGCTATTGTTGCCCATCAGAGGTCTGTCAAGGGGAAAAAGAAAAGGGTTTTCAAAGGAAGACATGTTTTGGAGGTAAGAAAGGAAAAAACTGGGTGTTGTTAGAAAGCAAGCAAACTAATAATTTCTGGTGGGGGAGAAAGGGAAGAAAGAGGTCTCACATTAGAAGCAAGTAGGGTATGAGGGGAAAAAATGATACATGAGTAAAGCATTAGGGATTACTGAGAGTTACAGTGGGGTCAAGAGAGTAAGCCAGAAGAGGGAATCATTGGTAGCTGATAGGGGTGTAGCTGGGAGCTAAAGTTACACATCTAGACAACTAGTCAGTTCCACCCTGATGAAATGAAGTTAGTATCAAGTAGGCAACCAATGGCTCTCACATCAAGCATATTTTTTCTTCATTTTGATACCCCAGACCAGTGGTTCCCAAACTTTAACAACCTGTGAACCCCTTTCACTGAAGTGTCAAGTCTCATGAACCCCCTCCTAAAAATGAATATTTCCAGGGATTTTCTCTTTTACCTGAGTATAAATTATAAAAGCAGTGATCTTGGAAATATAAAATTTGTTTTTATGACATGCTTATTACACACTATTATTAATTATTTATTATTACTGTATTTTTATTATATTCTGAAAATGGCAACACTCTTCCAAGATCTCACTTTCGTAGTATGTATCACTTTGAATAAGCCTATTATAAGACAAGGCTCCTATATTTCATCAAGGAACAGCATGAAGGTATTTAAGAAGCCAACTCAAAGAGTTCCTCCTACACAAGCATTCAGGTCTTGAGCAGTCCTGGCAAACAGTGCACGTTACAACAAAGCTTAAACTTGTTCTTCATAATAATTTTAAAAACAATACTAGCTGCCTATTTAATTTTAAAAACAGCAAAAAACATCCACCTCCCTTTCCATTTCTTATAGCGAGTCTTGAAGTTTAAATCTCCTCGGTGTGATAGATATGCTTGTTTTGATCTGCTTAGCTGCAGGTCCCGTGCTGCCCGGGGACAGCTCTGTCCACCATTAGGGAATCCCCCCCCCCCCCCGAGAACCCCCTGTAACATTTTGTGAACCCCAATTTGGGAACCACTGCCCCAGACCCATTATCAGCTGGATACTCTCTCTTCATTGGATTTCTGAAATGGACTTAATATCACCCCACAACTAAATGTTATTTTCAGGTAGCACAAAAGGAGTGCACTAAGATATAACAGAGCAACTGACACCACTTTTCCACCATCCATTATGATACACATACTAGAAGGTAGGTTAAACAAGGCTTGTATTTAGAATAGCTAAAATAGAACCCTAAAGCCCTAATCCTGCAAACACACATTTGCTTAACTTTACTCACATGCTTGAAGTTAAGCATGTGCATATTCACACAACAGTGGCCTAAAATGTACTGAGGACTGAGTTTCTGACTTTGGTAAGGTCTGAGGTCTTTTTCTGCAGTAAAAGCAGCAGCCAGAGTAAAAACAGCAGCTATGAGCTAAGTTGCAGAGAGTCACATCCTCAGGTTCCATCAATTGCATCAGAACAGAGTAATAACGGACTGCTAAGAAGGTGTTCCTGTCCTAATCGTACCCACGATCACCAGATAAAGAAACAGATATTAAGATTTTTAAAGAAAACCTTGATAACTTTCTGTCTAGCAAGAAACCACTTATCAATAGTTGTGATTGTGAAATCCATACTTCTTTCTTGTTTTGATATTGTTTATCTGTATTATCATGTCTGGTTTTTAATTGTTTCTGTCTGCTGTGTAAATTGGTTTCACAACATTTAAATTGACTCTTGTACGTAGGGGGGAAATGGGCTAGGACTGGTTAAAGAATTGTTTCGTAATGGGCTTGCATTCTTTTGTAGTATTTTAGTTTAAAATGACTGGTTAAGATATAGCTAAGTAGGACCCAAGTTTTAACTATATAAATTGGGGTCCAAAAGGAAGTTCTTTAGAACCTAACTCCAGAACACAGCCCAAGATCAGAGCTGCCAAAACCATCACACCCTGATGATCATACCGTACAGAAGCTGGAGCCCCGGACAACTTGATCCTGACTGGCCACCAGGAAAAGTTTGTCCCCCTTACTGGGAGTGGTGAGCACTGTATGCTTAGCATCTGTACTCTGTTGATCAACTGTTAATAAATATAGGTTAAGGATATAACTGTTTCACTGGGAAAAGGTCCCGCAAACCAGCAGAAGGTGCCTGTGCCTAGGACAGGTAAGAGTGAGTGCCTTACGTCCCGAGCCCAGGATGGGAAAGGATGGGGTGCCTGAATTTACAGGGTTATGCCTTGAGCCCCCGGTACAGTAAAGGTGGGGTGCCCTAGATTCTGTGGGTAACACCTTAACCTCCACAACCAGTTACTCTAGCAAAGACCTGTCCCTTCATTACTGTTCGGTTTTAAATTGCATTTTAAGTATTACTCAGGCAATGGGACATTTCTAATAGATAAGTAACTGCTGGGAAGTTGAAAGCTTAATTAATTATTTCAGTATTTTACTCTTTTTCCTCAGTGTTATTCTCTCATAATGAATTTTTTAAAATGTGAGAATGGTGGTAACGCCATATCAGCAAATTTAAGAGATTGCCTGTAGAGCAATCTCAATTCTTTTTGCTTTCAAAAATGTTGTCATTATGTTACTAATGAGCAACTGACTCAATACAATTAAAAGCAAGTAAAGGAGGTGAGGGACAACACTTAAGTTAGACAACTGATTTGTGAAGCTGTAATAAACAAAAAGTCCACTCTTTGAGAAATGATATAAAAAAAGTCTCCCAACTGGATATTAAAGTCTTTTTAAAATGAAAGGTTTTTTGCCTGGTCTGTGAGGAAAACCCAAACTTTAAGAACAAACTTGAAGCCTCACACTTCTGAGACAGCTAGAGACCAGGTGAGTTACAAGATACCATGTTTGATTTCTAGTAATACAGGAGGGAAAGGAGGTCACTATAAGTGTCATTAAGATGGCATTCCTCATTGAGGCAGCTCTTATTGCCAACCAAGGATGCAGTCTGATGACACCAGATAAAAATAACAGAAGAAAACACTAGTCATTGAAGTTCTATTATTATAAAGTTCTGTAATCTTAGACTAACCGAAAAAAGATTAACTACTGTTCAGTTAACCAAAAGAGTATAAGAACTGTAGAACCTGCCTAAGAATTTTGAAACCTTTCTGATTTACAGTACTTTCTAGTAAGAAGTTACCTACTTGTATCAAATTATAACAGCAACTTTACTATTATTGGTTTTACTTATGTTTATTATATTTAAACCCTCACATAAAAATGCAAATAATGTTCCTTCGTAACTAGAGTTAGTTATTCCTAATTTATAATCACACTGGAGTTTTTCTCCAAATTTAAGGTCAGTTGTATGGAACCAGGGAAGATGAGCCACATTTTCCTTTTAAATTGCAGAGGGAAAAAAGACTTTGCAGGTCAGGCAACCTTAAATACACACAGTTCATAATACGTGCATATTAACTTCACTTAGAAGTTAAATTGTAAGTATAGCTGTATTTCAAAAAAATAAAGTGTACTGTGTACATTTAACGATTTTAACAATGTTTCAAAAGGCTCAAAATACCAGCATTGGACAATTTTCTGGGGATTTCATTTTCAGATAAAATGGTGAAACAAAGCAACTGAACTGCAAATTACACAAGCATTCAAAACTTTTTTTTAAAGACAATTACTTACAATAAGTTTACTGAAAATTTAGAAGTGTGAAGTTTATACATAAGACATTAAAGTCACATTACATTACCTTTTTATGTTTTGCTCCACGGAAGTGTGACTGAAGGCTTATAGAACTCATACATGGAACTTTACAAACCTAAAGAAATTAATTATAGTCAGTTACACTACAGCCAACTTTAGTATAAAAATACTGTTGTGCAAGCACAGCAAATAGGTCTGCGGTTATGGACGAAAACCTTTCATTATATTTTACTATTTTAAGAAACTGGTGAAGGCCTCTTTGAAGAAGGCTTGTGTGAGAAATTTAAAGTAAGACACCAGTGAGTGACAAAGAGCAGTACATAACTAATCACATTAAGCCTACTTAGACATCAGGAAAGTGAAGATATTAAAAACAGCACCAGAACTGTGTAAACTGTTTATGGTTTTTTTTTTTTTTTTTTTTTTTAACTTCTGTCAATTAACTAGTTTCTGGAATCCCCTCCCCTCCCCCGATTTTTGACAGTATCCTTTTAACTCAGTAGTTCCCACACTGTTCTGCAGAGTATTGGTGGGTGGTCTGTGCTGAAATAGATGATCACATGACGCAAAGGGCACGGAGAAGGAGCTGTAAACAAGAAGGACTGTAACGCCAACACAAGGGGGGGTTTGCAGTGTGGGAGGGGGGCTCTGGGCTGGGCCTTGGACAGGGGGTTGGAGTGCAGGAAGGGGTGAGGGCTGCAAGGTCTGAGAGGGAGTTTGGGTGCAGGAGAGGGTCCGGGCTGGGGCAGAGTGCTGGCTCTGGGAGGAGGCTCAGGGCTGGGGTTCAGGGTGCAGGGGGGGTTGCAATGCTGGCTCCGGGACGGGGCTCAGGGCTGGGGTGCGGCTTCCCGCCCAGTGGCACTTACCTTGGGCGGCTCCTGGTCGACGGCACAGCGAGGCTAAGGCAGACTCCCTGCTTGCCCCGGCCCCACACCGCTCCCGGAAGGGGCCAGCGTGCTACTGCGGCCCCTGGGGAGAGTGGGGAACACGTGCCTCTGCGCGCTGCCCCTCTCTGCAAGCACCGCCCCCATAGCTCCCATTGGCCACAGCTCCCCATCCCCAATGGGAGCTGCAGGGGAGGTGCTTGCAGGCATGGACACTAATACTATACAAATAATAGACAACCAGGATTCTATTCTGGGTCACTTGAGGCTGAAGCCTTTGAGCCTTTCTAGGTTGGCTTCTTATCTGATTAAACGGAAAGGTTTGAAGGACACATGACAACTTCAGGCACTCTCTAGGATTCAAGTGTTCACAGGAACATTGCTGAGGAAATTTTGCAGTCAAGCCAACTGTGGACCTTTTGAATCAGTCATACTTATCCTTGAAAGACATGGAACAATTTATCCTGAAGCAACTTGGGTACAAGTAAGAAAAAGGATCCCATGTTATAAAGTAGATGACTTAATCCAGAAAGTGGAGAAGACATCCTAGATCTATTTTCTAATTGGAAGGAAATGAATTTGGTCCTGCCATGCGGGCAGGGGACTGGACTCGATGACCTCTCGAGGTCCCTTCCAGTCCTAGAATCTATGAATTGTGCTAACACTGATCACAAACGACTTCAGTTCAGCACCTGAAGGAACAGGTTCATGGTACACAGCAGGAACAGGTTATTAAGATCATACACACACACACACACTTTAAGAAATTTAATATGGGACCTAACTAGAAGTGCTTAACACTCTGTTTTTTCAACATGGCTGGGGGAGGGGACCAATATTTAATTACTCCTGTTGTCACATATCTAATTTTGTGTTTGCTTTCTGGCTCTCTTGCGGTCTACCAGCATCATCCACATTAGCGAAAAGTTACCTGGTTCCTGCACTTTGACCCCTAGGGGCTAGCAAGTGAAGATCATAATACTGCACCGTATGACAGACCTAAGTTCAGGAGTAAAATGTACTCACTAGATCACACAAAACGATGTTATATAATCGTACTTTAAAAAACCACCAAGAAATCCACTCACCTCACAATAAAATATCTTTTTCTCAGATTCTTGTTTAACATCTTCTGGTTTAGCATCATCCACATTGGTGGTGCTCATCTTGTAAAAGTGGATCAGAGCACTTTAAAAAACAATGAATTCACATCTTATTTACACATTTATTTTTTCAGCTTAAAACTATTAGTGGAAGAACACCTATATGTAAATTATTAGATACTTGAACTGCAGAAAACATCTGAATAGAACCTCTAACACAAAGCAAAAGCATTTTCTACGGTGGTCTTAATTATGCAATATTTTTACCACAAAAACAAGGACGAATATTTAGTTAAAGTCCAATAAGCTACTAAAAGATATTTGATCGTATTTGTTCACTGTATCTATCTTAGACACATACACTTCTTTGTAGTTATCTGTAGTTTTATGGCTTACAATCTTTTACAAATTGAAACGAGGAACACGATTCATTAAATTCATTTTCTTTACAATGCTCGACTGCTCTATCACCACACTTGCTTCGGTTATATTGGGGCTTTTCCGAACACAGAAGATGCACCAATTTTTTAATTAAAGGTGTGACTGTTAAACCTATTTAGTTAAAACTGGTGCAACTTTGTGTCTGGACACTCTTATCACACGTGCAAGCTAAGCTAATATGTACCCATCATTCAAGTGTCAATTTGAATATGATAAAATTCTAAGTTTGCCCACTAAAAAAAGGACGTTCCTTATTGCTATATTAGATAAAAATGTATTTTGGTATCATGTAAATATCCACGGTGCCTATGTTTTTCTATAATATATCTCACATTCAATCTGTTTTCATACAACTGTGTGCCAAGTTATCTGCATTTTATTCTGTTTTACTGACATCAGTAAAAGTATCAGGTATGTGTTACAGTTAAGGTGATCACCTGCATAACTGGCAATTGCTGATAGCTTTCAAGCCCAAGGCAGAAAAACTGAAAGTTATAATTTCCTGTTTCTTTTCAACACCAGTCCTTTTACACATTCTTCTATATCAGAAGTGAGGTAATGATTTGTAAATACCACTATTACTCAGCATTAATAAATTTAGCCATTATTAATCAGGCTTAATAAATCCTGCCTTCTCAATGAAGAAATATTAACATAGTCAATTCAGAAGTACACTGAATGACTACATTTGAAATATTTTCACTGATTGATAGTTAACAGGAAACAAGAATTATCATCCATTCACTGAAACCAAAGCTAACCAATATCCCAGCCGATACCTCCCTGCCATGGCAAGGGAAAACTAGCTAGCTGACGATGGTGACAGTTACCTTTCGCCACCATAGCAAGGTTGGGACTAAGATATCAGTCCAGCACATTTGAGTGGTGGCAGAGATCATAGGCATCCCCCCCACAGGACTGTGACAGTGGAGAGTGAGTAGCTGCACTAGAGCAGGTGCATTGGGCACCACTATCAGCATGGTTCTCAGGAGATGTAAAGCAGCCCGGATTACCAACACAGAGAACAAAGTGCTGAGGAGTGGGAGGATCCTCCTTTCCAACTCCTGAGTTACACAGTAATATAAAAAGGCCATAGTCACCAGCTGGGGGAGAGTAGAACTCAGAGCCTCAGGCCAGAGGAGATGAGAGGGCGTCAGAGGAACGTGGATGCTACAAAGAGACAAGAGCCACTGTAACCTAGGAGACTGACAACAGTACAGTCCCCCGTGCCCTGCCCCCAGCCCTTCTGCCACAGTCCTCCCCCATCTCCCAGCCCCTTCCCCCGTGGCCGGTCTAGCCCCGTGCCCTGCCCCCAGCCCTTCTGCCACAGCCCCTCCCCCATCTCCCAACCCCTTCCCCGTGCCCTGCCCCCCAGCCCTGCTGCCACAGCCCCTCCCCCATCTCCCAGCCCCTTCCCCGTGGCCTGTCGGCCCCCGTGCCCTGCCCCCGGCCCTTCTCCCCGTGCCCGGCCGAACTCCCTCCCAGCCCATGCAGATGAGACTAGGGCGCCCCCTCCCCGCTCCACTCACCAGCCGGCGCCGGGACACTCCCGAAGAAAATGCCAGCAACAGTGCCTCAGGGAATGCGCAACTACATCCGGGACCCCAACTCGAAACGTCACTTCCGCCCCTAACTACGGAGCCCGCGAGACTGAGCACGGTTACGGTACGTGAGAAGGAGGGGGGAAGGGATTGACGGCGGGACTCCCTCCCAGCCAATGAGAAAGAGAGTGTTACAACCAGCCAATAGGAGGGGGAGAGAGGAAGCCTCTAACCAATAGGAGGAGCGGGATCTCAGGCCGCTCCCTGGAGCGGCAACAGTTGAAGCGGGTGCGGGTCCAGTGCGCCTTCCCATCTCGGGGGCCGGAAGCGGGTCTGTGTGTGGCCACCCTCACCGCGGGGCTCCTCCTTAGAGCAAAGGCTTCCCTGCCCCCCCGCAGTATGGGAGGAGGGATAGCTCAGTGGTCTGAGCATTGGCCTGCTAAACCCAGGGGTGTGAGTTCAGCCCCTGAGGGGCCATTGGGACACACACACACACACACACACACACAAAAATCAGTTCTAGGCAGACCTCTAAACGGCAATTAAAATTGTAACAATGGTGCATGTGTTTGACAGTGAAGAGTGCTGCCAACTAACTTGCACACTTTTATCACAAGTCACCTAGTACCTGGGACCCTGTTCTTAAAACCCCGACTCCTGAAGTTCCATTTACGGGAGAATCCCAGCTTTAATCTTTAAGTTTCTAGCCTCTATGCTTATGGAGAAAACTTGCCTGCAAATGTGATCCCTAGTGGTTCAAATAACAAATGAAAAGAACCCATAACTTACTATGATTTTTAAGTATCAGAGGGGTAGCCGTGTTAGTTTGAATCTGTAAAAAGCAACAAAGAGTCCTGTGGCACCTTATAGACTAACAGATGTATTGGAGCATAAGCTTTCGTCAGACGAAGTGGGTATTCCATGTTTGTGCCATGCGTCTGACGAAGTGGGTATTTACCCACGAAAGCTTATGCTCCAATACATCTGTTAGTCTATAAGGACTCTATGTATGATTTTTAAGCCAACCTTATAAGTTTTTGGGTCCTGGCACTGGTTTCTGCACCAATAATCTATGCCTAGGCTATTGCAGCATTTAGGCCTCAATTCAGTGGGACATGAGCAGGAGAATACTTCCAGACACACTTCAGATTTGAGTTATTATCATGGGCTTTTTTTTTTTTTTTTTTTTTTTTTTTTTTTTTGCATTTTCAATGTACTTTGGCTGCTGGGAATTTATCAGAAGTCAGTGACCTTTCCAGTTCATTTCTTGGTCACAAACCAGCCTTATGGAAGTGCTAGCATTGCTTATTATATTCCCAGAGTTTTTAGTTTTCAATATTTGGAGAACAAATTGAGATTTGATATTATTTTTCATGTAAAAGTAAATATTTATTATCAAATGCTTAATTTTACATTTCTCAACAGTATTAAATGCAAGCTATAATTTAAGAAATACACATGAAAGCTCTAAAAGCGGTGTGGAAAAGTACAAAATTACATTCTAGTACACATGTATTAAAAATGAAGAAAATATAGTAAATTAATTTTAATGAAACATTTCTTTCTGAAGAAAATTCCAAGTTAAGAAACATATACATTTTCTTGCCTGCTTTTAATTAGCTTGCTATTGATATAGTTTTTCAGTCCATTACAATTGTTGTATGCAAAGCAGCACAATATATACTATTTTAAGACAACATATCAAAAGATTACTGTTTAATTTTCCCAGACTAAACATTTAAGGCACAAGTTTTTATTTTTTACTTCAGAAACAGACTTCAAAGAGAAACAACAGAACTAAAATTCATTTGCAAATTTAACACCATTAATCTGGGCTTGAATAGGGACTGGGAGTGGCTGGCTCATTACAGAAGCAGCTTTTCCTCTCCTGGAATTGACACCTCCTCATCTATTATTGGGAGTGGACTACATCCACCCTGATTGAGTTGGCCCTGTCAACACTGGTTCTCCACTTGCGAAGTAACTCCCTGCTCTCCATGTGTCAGTATATAATGTCTGCATCTGTAACTTTCACTCTATGCATCTGAAGAAGTGAAGTTTTTACCCACGAACGCTTATGCCCAAATAAATCTGTTAGTCTTTAAGGTGCCACCAGACTCCTTGTTGTTTTAGTTACTGGTGAGTCCCTCTGTCATACAACAATTCCACTGGCCTTGATTCACAGAATCAGGGTAACAACACTTTATTCTTCCTGCCCCAATAACAGAGAAACTGGGGATCCCACACCAGCCAAAGTAACCACTTTCAGTTGTTGTCCCAGGCTAGGCGGGTGGGTGTGCCTATGTAAACAAGATCAGCCCCTGAAGTTCTTTTCCACCCTCGCCATAATTCACCACCAGATGTCAGGGTAGAGCTTATCCTGACTCTGCTTACACAATGATGATGTGTACTCTGTGTATATAAGCACGCTATATATAAAGATATATTCACAATATAGTGGCACTGATCAGGAATGTGTTGATCTGGTGGGAGCTCTGGGCCTTCAGTCTACTTCAAGTAAATGAAAACTCTGTGCCTCTGGCCTCAGCTTGATCAGTTGCAAAAGTCTCTACCTCTTCCTCCTAAGGTGCAAGTTATTGAAATCTGCTTCCATATCCACATGTCTAACTTCACACACAGCCTTGCAAGGCCTAGAAGAGAAAAAAAACTCCAATGTTTCCAATGGGATATTCTCTACAAGCTGTGCCTCAGTCTGTTTTCCTCATAATCAGAAAAGAGAAGTTTTCCATCTCCAATTGGAACTTTAATTTTAAGGAGGGCAAAGGACAAATAGCTCAGTTCTCCATTATTTTTAATTTACATAACACTTTGAGCGAGGTGTAGTTTTTCCTCACACAAGGGAATTAATATATTCACAAGCCTTGAAAAGTATTATCTGAAGCTGTTTCAATTTAGTGGTAATAAAATCCACTGTGAGACCTTTTCTTAAGAGATACCTGTGGTGGGTGAAATTTGACCCTGAGCAGAGGGCCAGCACAAGACCTATGTACTGTACTACTAGAGATCTACTGTGGCTTCAACATATGGATTAAGGAGAGCTTAAATTATGCACAGGGCATATTCCTTACCACCTGGTTGATGCCTTCACTTTAGTAATGTCAGAGCTAAGGATCTGAGGGAAGATCAGACAGGTCCTTTAAACCTCAACATTTCAGGGCTCAGCCCTCCTCAACATTTTATTTGCAGGTGCACAAGTTTCAGATACTTCCCATTTGGTCCAGACTCAACCCTCAGGTTTCAATTTCTAATATATAGTCTAATGATCTGTATTTAGAGTGAAGAGACATGCATTTCATTACCATGTTTAAAACAGGTTCCAAGAAGGCAGTCTTTTCTATAAGAGCTTGGGTCTGATCCTTCCATTTTGCCACTTGAATATTCAAATCCCCAAACTGATGATCTATTAAAACTAGTTTACCAGCAGCACAGTCCTACTTTTGTTCCAAGCTTTCAAAATGAGTTTCTGTTTTGGTGGCCAGGGACTGTAAAGTGAAGGGCCTTTATCTGTGGTCTTGTCTACACTGGAGGTCCACCTCAATTTCAACCACTGATATAACTGCACCAGTGCAAACCCCTGGTGTAGACAGGTAGAGTCACTGTTTGCACTGGTAGAGTTTACCCCTGCTTGAAACCAGGGTAGTTGCATTGGTATAAATAATGGCTTATAGAGGTTTAATCTGTCTACATTAGGGATTTGCACTACTGTACTTACTTTGGTGGCTGGCCATAGATGGCTGAAACAGGCAAATCCCCAGTAAAAACAAGGCCTTAATGGGGAGCTTTAACAATCTTAAGAGACACCCCGGTTGAGGATTAAGAAACATGCCCTCTAAGGGAAGCATCTCCAGAGCCTTCTGGCTCAGTATGTCCTCCAGACTCAGATAACTTAAAAATAAGATTGAGAAGGTAAATCCTTTGCTTTTAGCTCCTCTGGACAGGTTCTGGGTGATGAAGTTTAGGAGCTATCACTAGACAAAGATAAATACAGAAATTATCAAGTAAACAGTAGGGCAAGGAGGAGAACTCCCTTTATCCTGAACTTAATACTCTGAGTTCATGTCAGCCAAATATTTGTCTAGATATATCATATATAATAAGCAGCTTTTATGACCGACTTCAAAATAAACACAAAAGGTGCCTCCCCAACACAGAAGTTAGAGCAGTGGCTATGGGAATATCAATTCAATACCAACTCATTAATGAAGAACTCCAAGATCAAAGGTTAAAAACTCTACTAAGGCCTTGGCTACACTTGCAAGTTACAGCGCTGTAAAGCCTCCCCCAGCGCTGTAACTCACTCCCCGTCCACACTGGCAGGGCACTTACAGCGCTGTATCTCCCTGGGTACACCGCTGCAGGTACTCCACATCTCCGAGAGGAATAACAGCTGCAGCAGAGTGGCTACGACTCACGGGTGTGAGTGTAAACGCTTGCAGCGCTGTACTAATCACCTTGTCAAGTGGCCAATCCTCTCCATTGTTGTGACCGGCTGCAGGAATGCGGAAGTGCCGGTTTCAAAGCTCGTACCACAGAGAAAAGCAAACAGTTTGCAGCTTGCTTTGAGTGAGTAAATGAATGAGCAGGGGGCCGGGAGTACTCAGCTGTACGAAGTCAGGTTTACCTCACAGCGCTGTACAGCTGCAAGTGTAGCCAAGGCCTAAAAGCAAACACCTCAGCCACCCTAGGGCTCTAAGCCAGTGGTTTTCAACCTTCAGTCCATGGACCTCTGGGGGTCTGCAGACTATGTCTAAGGGGTCTGCCAAAAGGTGACTATGAAAATAAAGTTTCAGATCCCAGAAAAGGCATTCCATTTTTCTGACCAATCAAAAGTATGTGAATACCCCCCACCTACAGGTCAAAACCTGGAAGTGTCATTACCACAGAAACCCACAGTTTAGCGCCCAGTGTCAAATGCCATGCCGAGCACTTGCAACATTTATAGTTGAATTCTGTTCAGTCAGTTTTCAACCTAAGACTTCTATAATAGGGGGTCCGTGGACCACAGGTTGAATTTCGAAAAGGCTCCAGCCCTCCATTAGAAATTTTTTAGGGTTTGCAA